TATATATATTATATATATTTATATTATATATATACGTGTGTGTGTGTGTGTGTGTATGTAATGTATATGTACAAGCATACACACACCAACCTCTATAAAATACATTATGCATTGATTTATTAATATTACTTTTGTTTTTATTTTGCAGTATGGAGATTAATGATTTCTGTTCATATCTCCATGAGTCATTTTCTAAACCTCCAAAGTAAATCATGAAACATGCAAAATCTCTAGGTTGAAATCCACCACGCACTATACCAGCGTGCACCTAATTATGCATATTATCTTCTACAATCTATTAGGTTTTAAATTATTCATTCCAGACTTCAATTTTAATTAGGTTAAGCCCATAAGCGACAGTCATATATTTTTGATCAAGGTTTATATTGCGTGAAAATGTAGTCTATTAAAAGACTCCACCAGGTGAGGGTAGCAAATAAATAATGGCTCGGGTGCTAATTAAGTCCATTTAAAAAAAAAAATAACTAAATCTAATCAAAAAATCATCAGTTCAGTAAATACATTTGAATGTTATTTTACTGCAACTGAAAACTGATAGTATAAAAATGATTTGATGTATATGAGGGATGAAAGTAGAAAGTGCTGATAGTAGTGGGCTCAGAACAGAAGTGCTGTTTTCCCTTCCCACTGAAACACTGATCTCCCCAGACACCTATGCACAGGGGAACTTGCATTCCAAAACTGGCCTCGCACACATTTTACTTTGCCTTTCCCTGACTGCTGAAGCCCATTCTTTTCTGCTTATGTAATTATTCTGTGTTTTCAATGTTAAGCAAAGTTTAGAAGTCATCAAAAATGCTCTGATACATTAAAACAATGTCTTGTCACACATAAATTAATGTCATTAGAGCAAGAATCAAGTTAAAGTTCCATTGTTTCTCTATGGATAAAATCAGATTGTCAGTGATGAACTTTTCTAGACAGACTGTGAACTGAGGTTTTTAGGTCAGTGTCCTTTCAATTACATATATAATACTTCTAAAAACTTCAAAACTACAGAATAATAATAATAATAATAGACACATTTCTCTGTACAAAACTATACTACCCATAATTTGGAAGAAAGATCCAGTCAGAGAAGTTGTTTACACCATGGAAACAGCATTGAATATTTTGTAATTTTTGAGTATTTTATACTTTTTATATTTTAGATTCATTTTATGTTTACTGACTGCAGTGTTTTATTGGATGAGTAGTTAATCCTCTCAAAAATATGGAAAACATTATAATCTTTGTTTCATGTTAGTTCACAGTACATTAAGTAATGTTAACAGATACAACTTTAAATTTTAATAATGTATTAGTAAGTTTTGAACTTATTAACTAACATTAATGAATGCTATAAAAATATTTTTCATGTTAACTAATATAATTAAGATTAAAAAATGAAACCTTATTGTAAAGTGGTATCAGTTACTTCATTAATGTTAACAAATGAGACCTTATTACAATATGGAAGAAACATTTGCTGCTACATTGTGACTTTCACGTGACGCAAACAACATCTTTGCTGTGGGGGATAGAAATACAGTTCATTCAATGTGTTGTAATTGGTTTCCAGTGAAAACACTGAAGGTATGTCATTGCGCAAAACTTTTAGTGAAGAGAAAACAGTCCTCTCTGTGCTCTTCAAAAATCTCTCTGACGACATCCAGCACCTTGGGCTTTTAGCTTTGTCATTTCTTAAGCTGCCTTTAACATTTTGCCCCGCCTGCTTGATTTAATGTGCTAACCGTAGAGGTCAGTTTATCCTTTATCATAGATTTCTCTCCTCTGCAGAGCATCAGCCTTGTAATTTATTCTGACAGCACACTGATACGCTTGCTAATGGCCTCTGGTCTGGCTCAGACAAACTCAATCCATTATTATGTATTGATTGACAAGGACAGTGAAAAGAAGGGCATTGTGTGGGTTTGGAAAGAAGCAGGTTTACAATGTGTGCTGTGAGGCGGTGTTCTGTTGGTCAGCATTCACAGTTTTCTTATCTCTCAGGCTCAAATTGTTGCATTCTGCATTGTTGCCACAAGGGGTGCTATAATGAGTATTTGTAACGGTCTTCTACATTCAGTTTTCTCTTTCTGGTCAACAGTTTTGCTGGGTCAGGTAAGAGAGTTCAAGTTCGTTAAATGTTGACATTTATCTGACTCCAGTTTAACAACTCTGGTTTGTCTCTGTTGCCCCCAAAGTACTGAGTTTTAAGGTCAGTTTTAGGGTTGCACATTAAGTATGTCAAGAAGTGACGCTCATATTTAGTTCTATTTATAAATGTAAAAATACATAAAATGTTATTCATACATACAGTAACTTCTCTATGATGAATTTCTGTATTAAAATTAATTTTGAAAAAAGTGAACTTGAAGTAAAAAAAATTCCATGTCATAATGAAGAAAAAAGTTTTCAAATTCTTAAAAGAAAACGTATTAAGTTGTTTGGCGTAAGACTCTATTATTGTTTTAACAAAAATTTATTAATCTTTGAAAAATAAAATAAAATTATCCAAACATCAAAGTCATGCATGTGGTGTGACCAATATGCAGAAAGAAAGAAGGAAAGAAAGAGAGAACGCAAGAAAGCGTAAGAAAGAACGAACGGAAGAAAAGGCGCAAGAAAGAACGAACGGAAGAAAAAGCGCAAGAAAGAACGAACGGAAGAAAAAGCGCAAGAAAGAACGAACGGAAGGAAGTGCAAGAAAGAACGAACGAAAGAAAGAAAATAAATATATAATAAGAGACCCCTGCAGACCCTCATGACTGTCAAGTTGAATAAATCTCTTAACATATCAGATAATTTGTCCTTTTATGATAAGGCAAGTTTAGTTCAGGTTGTAAAATAAATGATTATTATAATTAATATATGGCAAAAAAATTACCTTGAAATATATACAAATAATTGATTTATGATATGTACACATTTTTAAATGTGTACATTTGTTGAAATCGATGCAAAAAAAAATTCAAAACCATATGAATGAAATGAATACAATAATTAAAATAAAATGTTAAAATAACACACCAATATCCCAAGCACCGCTCTGCAGTCTAACTCTGAGATGTTAACTAGTGCCTAAAACACTAGAAGTGCAGTATATCTTCCTAGAATGTTCTAGAAGTTGTAGTTTTGGCTGTCCGGGCCGCAACAGTGACGAGTTTTGGGGAATGAGACTGGGAGGAGGCGGATAGGACACGCAAGGGCAGATGGGCACTTTGATCACGGCTGTGGCTTCAGAAGCAGGTTTTATCTGCGAGGGGGTGGATGGATTGTGAGGCTGAGGTTCTACACATCAAACAAACTAGGAATGACCTTCACTGACACATACATAATATCAAAGGGTCTGGAAGAGATGAGCAAAGCATGAAACTGTCTGAAGATGTGCTATTCTCGCGGGCTGTCGCTGAATAGTCTCAGCCTCCCACTGGACCTGCTGCTGCAACAAAAGCAGAGGCTCAGATTGGCCTTCAAGTACTAACATGTAGGTAAATATAAAGTGCAAGCCGACACATATCGATTTACTCCTCAGTCTCTCATGGTTTTTATTTTTATGAGTTCTCATGTCCTAGGGCATGATTCTCTGTGACTAGAAAGGAGTCCCCTCCCTCTGTCTCTCTCTCTGTCTGTCTGTCTGTCTCTCTCTCTCTGTCTCTCTCTCTCTCTCTCTCTCTCTCTCTCTCTCTCTCTCTCTCTCTCTCTCTCT